GCAGGGACGCGGCCTATGGACAAAAGCGAAAAAAAAGTCTTCGCTGTGACTCATGCCTTTTCTCACTGAATTAATTACTTAGTATACATTGCTTACAAAGATGATAACTTTGAATCCTCTTACATATTAAGTTACCTACATTTCTAGTAAAAGTGTAGTAGGTTTGGGTGCTAATACTTACCCGCAGACTCACAGGCTTAAAGTGTGTTGACTGAGGACCTTCTCAGACTAGCACCATTTCCGTCATTTTTATTTCTGTTTCCGTATAATTTTGGGGCTTACCACGTGTGCCTTATGTTCTCCCCGCTCGTGGTCAAAATAGATTTTCGAATTTCTTTACCTGCTGCTCTGTGGCAATGGCGGAAGGCATTTGTTCTCGGGGGCGCTTCTAGATTCATATCTCTACTCATTATTTTATTAAATTTTGATACCTTATACACCTCGTGCAGGGTTTTACCAACGAGAATGATTATTACTGTCTATCATTTGTCTCTTCCGCTTTCCACTGCTCGTCACGCAAGCTCTGGTTCCCTTCTGCTTGCAACTCTGCTGAACACGCATCTTTGGATTCCTTGCTTGCTCTAAAAAAAGATAGAAAAAAAATCTCGAGGTTCACCTTGACTGATACACGATGACAATGCATCTCCTCTTCACTCTCTTCAAAACACGAAACGTTACACTATACTGAGGAAGTTCGTTATCTACCGTGTATTTGAAAATGACTCACGCGACACACTCTTCAAGTTTACTAAGTTGCCAACGTCTGTAACAATAATACTTATCTATCTATGTATATGTATATGTCATAGGAAAAGAAAATGTATAAACTGCATAGAAGCGAGAGAGAGAGAGAGGGAGAGAGAGAGAGAGAGAGAGAGAGAGAGAGAGAGAGAGAGAGAGAGAGAGAGAGAGAGAGAGAGAGAGAGAGAGAGAGAGAGAGAGAGAGAGAGAGAGACAGACAGACAGACAGACAGAGACAGAGACACAGAAGGGCTGAAACAAATAAAACAGATTCAATAATTATCTTAATCTTCTATTGGCAATATAATAGCTAATATTCCTTTCATTAGCATTATACTCACTATCATATATATCATTACCGTTATGAATAATATGAGACCGAAAGAGACAGAGAGAAAAAAGGAACAGCGAAGAGAAAGAAAAGACATAAAAAGAGTTAGCGAAGTAAAGCTCGAGAAAGAGAAAGTACCAAAACAACAGACATATATATAATGAAAAAAAGAGAAGAAATAAAGAATTGAATAACCCTTAAGAAGAGGACAAACGAAAATCAATATAATATAAAGATAAAAACAAAATAAAATCATTTGTAACCTCACAAACAGGGCTCAAGATAAAAAGACACAAACCCCATTCAAAGAACAAAAACCTTGTATGCTACACCTGTGCCAGTGAACACCTGCACCAGTAGGAACACGCGCGTGAACTAACACAGGGCGGAATAAATGCGTGTGGATTGTGAGGGTGGATTGTGAGGGAAGGGAGAGTGAGTGTGGAAAGGGTTGAAAGAGAGAGAAAATGAGAGTGAGGGAATGAGGGAAGGGAGAGTGAGTGAGGAAAGGGTTGAAAGAGAGAGAAAATGAGAGTGAGGGAATGAAGGAAGGGAGAGAGAGTGAAGAAAATATTGAAAGAGAAAGAAAAGGAGGCTGAAAGAATGAGGGAAGGGAGAAAGAGTGAGGAAAGGATTGAAAGAGAGAGAAGATGAGAGTGAGAGAATGAGGGAAGGGAGAAAGAGTGAGGAAAGGATTGAAAGAGAGAGAAAAGGAGGCTGAGAGAATGAGGGAAGGGAGAGAGAGTGAGGAAAGGATTGAGAGAGAAAATGAGAGTAAGCGAATAAGGGAAGGGAAAGAGAGTGAAGAAAAGATTGAAAGAGAGAGAAAAGGAGTGTGAGAGAATGAATGAAGGAAGAGTGAGTGAAAAGATTGAAAGAGAAAATGAAGATGAGATTATGAGGGGGAAAGAAGTGAGGCTGTAGATTGTGCAGATGAGTGGATGAGACATAAAAGAACAATGAAATGTAAAAACTGTATGGTAGTATAAGTGAGTGAATTCGACTGTGAGTTTGAGATAATGCTTCGGTAAGTGCGTGAAGGCAACGAACAGAAGAAAGCCTGCATGCGTGGCACCGACATAGAAAATATTTGTATTATTTTTCTCATTATTACCATTATTAACGTTATCATTATTATCATTACCATTATCACTGTTATCATTATGATGGTGATGATTGTTATTATTATTATCATTATTATTATTACCATTATCACTGTTATCATTATGACGGTGATGATTATTATTATCATTATCATTATTATCATCATCATTATTATTTATTATTATTATTTTCATTATATACTTTTTTTTTTGGGGGGGGGGGCGAAGGATATCACTCTCTCCTCTCCTCTTCTCTCTTCTCTTTTGTGCCTCGTTTGGATGTGTAAAACTGTGAGAGAGTGAGAGTGGATTGTGAAGGTAAGGG